CTCCAGAGGTTTCCTTTGTTTTTTCTGTACATTAGTGCTAACTTCTGGATGATGTCCGACTGTCTCTTTCTCGACCTTTCTCCGTCTTTGAAACCTTCTCCACTGTGAACGAGACATAGGATTTTTTCCTTTATAGTTGCTCGACACATGGGTCATTTTGTTCGACACAGAAGCATGGTACTCCTTTCTATAATCTAGAGAAGAACCTCTTGGTACGTCGAATGCCTGCCATCTATCCTAGTTTGGCCGCTTCCTACCCATGGTATTTAGCCAAGTATCTGTAGGCACATTGGTTGGAGGCCTAAAAGTCGGTGGCCTCCTTTCCTGATTCATGGGTCTTTGTTGATGTCCCCTTCTGGGGTCATATCGAATTTCTGGACCCATTCTTTGTTGGGCATTGGTGCCCTGTTTTACTTTTACAACCCGCATCACTTGTATGTGTTCAGCGGCTTTCTTATCGAAAATAGAGCTACATCTAGGGCATAACATTACTTCCAATTTCTTCTTTTGGCATCTATGCAGAAAGTATGCCAATTCTTCATCCTCCTATGGGAATGCAGTTTTGTTTACTTCTTCTTGTCGAAGGGCTTCCTCTGACGCTTTGGCTCCAGAGACTTCGACCACGTTAACCTGCATGTTGCTTTTGGCATCCAGGTTCATCTTCTGCATTTTGGCCTCCAAGTCCTCTGTCGAACCCTTTGCAGCAGCCAAATAAGAACCCGTGGTGGTTCTTTTGCTGGAGCTTTCAGCAACTCCTTTGATTTTGTTTGGGTCTTCAGTAACCCGTTTGATCAGTTTCAGGCTACCAGCAGCCTTCTTGTTCGACCCTTGGCCAACTTCATTTTTTAAATCCATACCTTCAGTGGCCTTTCTCACCCCTTCAATAGTCTTCCTGGAGATATTTCTAGTGAAATTTCCAAAGATAGGTTTTGTGATAAAATCTGCAAACACTTCCACCATATGAATGCTGACTGGTTCGGCATAATGCGCCTCTGTCTGCATTAGGTTTGTGTCGATCTTCATTGCTGGTTTATCAGCAAATTTCAGTCTTCCTTCCTTCAGCGCTTGTTGAACGAGATCCCTGAAAAGGAAACATTGTGAGGTTTTATGTCCCAAAAAATTATGGTACTTACAAAAACCTCTTTTCTTTCTTTGTTCTAAAGGAGGCAATTTAGCCCCTGGGGGCACTATCATATGTCCATCTTTAACTAATAGATCGAATATTTCATCACACTTGGATATGTCGAAGCTATAAGTTTTCTTAGGAAATTTATCACTGCTTTTTTCAGGTTCTACAGGATTTTTCCCATTTGATGGCACTAGCAATTTACAAGAATATGGTGGTCCTTGTTTTAATTCAGCTAAATCAATTTCGCCTTCTTCGACATCTACAGGATAGCTGTATGTCTATGGATCTTCATCATCCATTTCGACATAAGCTACCCTTTCTCGTCGATGAGTTTTGGCAGTTTTATCCTTTTCAGCTTTAAGGCGTTCTACTTGTCGAACTCTATCAGCAAGTTAGGCCATATCTCTTAGGTATTGTGTATCTAACTTTTTCCTAATCGAATAATCCAAGCCCCCCGCTGCTATTTCAACTAATTCATGCTCAAGCACTTGGGTAAAGCATCTGGCTTTGAGTAATTGAAATCTATTTAAATATTCATCAATTGGCTCTGTGAACCTTCTCTTCACACTAGCCAACTCTTTTAGGCTTATCTTGGTTTGACCCATGTAAAATTGTTCATGGAACAATCTTTCTAATTAGTTCCAGTTGTGGATCGAATTGGCTGGGAGGGTAGTGAACCAAGTGAAAGCATTCTTAGTCAAGGAACTCGGGAAATATTTGATTCTAAGGTTCTCATTGTTTGCTATTTCTCCGGCCTCTATCAAATATCTAGCCACATGTTCGACAGTCGACTCTGTCGTATCCCCTGAAAATTTAGTGAATTTTGGGACTTTTCCCCTAGGTGGTAAGTCTGTTTTAAGAATATACTCTGACAATGGGGATGCAAAGTTTGGTCTATGAAAACCAACATTCATCCCGTTTTGAAGGATGATCCTCTCGATCATAGCGGTTAAATTATTGTCCGTTTCATAGTTCTGGTGTCGAACTTGTTGTATTAATTCGTCAGCATTTTGGTTTCTATTAGCCATAATAACGCCTTGATCGATTTCTCGATGGTTTCGAGGTATCTCTATTCTTGGTTGTTCTATTTCTACCCTAGGAATCCCGGGATTCATATTAACGGTCATATTCTCTTCCATAATTACCCCTTGGTTTACCCTTATTGGTATCCTCTGGGGTTGTCGAACAACTTGGGGTACCCCAAAGAATTTAGCCATGCGCGTCATTTACGCTGTCATCTGTTGATTCGACTGTGTAGCAGTCTGAATGAGGGGATTTAACACTGTACTTAAAGTTTGTGCTAACATCTGTACCATTTCATGATTACTTTCGTCCATTTGTTGCCTCAAAATTGCTGTCGAAGCATTTGTGAGGCTTGGTATCATGTGAGATGGTCCTCCCAAAAATTAGTTTCTGCTGGCTCCAGACCCCTATAATGGTGATGTTGCATTCACCAAAGGTTCTGAAAAAGTAGACGCAACATTCATAAGGCTAGCCATTTCAGTAGTTGGCATGCCATATGGCTGTTCTTGACCCATCCAGGTTGTCGAAAAGCCTGAGGGTACAGTTGATCGAGATCCTAGATTTATCCTTGGTGGAGGCGTTCCCAAAGGACCTCTTGGACCCACATACGAAAGTAAGGGTCTAGTTTGATTCGTGGTTAACGCTGGCATTGATCCAACAGAAGTTGGGATATTCCCTTCGACAGCGGTAGTGACCGCTGTTCCTGTGATCGGTGGAGGTATTTCTCCATGGTTTGGCTCGTTAGCCATACTGCTCTCTCTATTTTCTTTCCTAACAGTATATTTGTTGGTTACTCTACCACTTCTTAATAACATGCAATGTTATAACTGTACAGGAAAAATACAGTAACATAGAAAATTAGCAACGTCCCACCAGGTGTGCCAATTTGTTTACCGTTGTTTTTGGTAAACAACCGCTGATCTTCAAAAAGGGTAAGTTTTTGGTTTACTTACGGGATCGATCAAACTAATCCCAGAACATATGCTAATTTTTATGTAAAATGAGTAAGAAGGAAGAACGCACGTTCGACCTAGAGAAAGGAGGTTTGAGATCGTTGAAAAGTAAGCAAGAGTGTAGAAATGCAAGTAAAAGAAGTAAAAAGATAACTTTGCAGGATAATGGTAAAGTAATGTAAAAAGACTTTCATTAAGTAAAAAAAGTGTTTCCAACGTACATTGCTCAGCTTTATCCTTTCTCACGCAATAGTTACTTGGATAATATTTGAGAGATTTAGTACAATAGGTTGAACACACTTGAAAATTACACAAGTTTCTTAATTTATACTAAAAGTAGGTAACCGTCGATGGGACATTCCGCGCTAGGATGAAGACAAGTGTCTTCTGCATGTCTCTCGACCCATAGCTTTTTGCCACGTTGCCTCTTCTCAGACGCTGATGAAAACTGTCTTTCCCTCCAATAATTCAAAATTCAAATGGTCTTCGTTCCCTGTGCCAAAGCGTGAACACTTTCCCTCAGTCGAGCAACATAATTCTGGTTCAGTCGAATGAGCCCCTGGTCGAAGATTCCTATCATAACTTAGATCTTTTTTTCTTAAGTTATCTCATGTGTCGAATCATACCTCCTGGTTTGGTTTATTCCAGTTGTTTGGTCCAAAAGACCAAATACAGTAAGTGTCGAATTTAGGAGCCAACAAATAGAGAACTTGAGTAAGTGTCGAATTGAATGAAATACCAGGTGGTAAAATGGAGGACTTGCATCCACAACCAGCATGTGAAGAACTTGTTTGTTCAATAGACTGGAACTTTTTAAGTGTAGAACTGGGATTTGTTTCTGGACTCGGAATGATCATTGGTCCTGTCATGTTTTGGAAGAAATGGAGGGTACGTTATTGGAAACTCGCAGATAGAATTCTCTGCAAAATATTTCCTTGGATGCATCTTGAATATGAAACTCACAGAGGAAAAATGTACACAGTTTTAAGATGGTAGTGACATTATGATCTAGTGTGTGTGCCAAATAGTATAATAATACTTTATATTTCCGCATATTGCATGCTTTTAATATTCCCGTAAAGTGTGGATGACTAGTTTCTGACTTTTTGTTTTCTGCACAGTATTTTTCTTAGTAATTTCAGAAATTTATTCTATAGTCTTTGTTGAGATCTGAGCGTTGTGATGTTTAAACTAATGTCCATTTTTTTATGCATTATATCCATTACTACCATAGTGTTGCATTTCTCCATAATACATGTTTAGGGTTTTGCAATTCTGGTTTGAAGCAACTATCCTGCCATTTATTTGGATGCAACACATTTGAGGGACTAATACCTTTAAGGCTTAGACAGCTAAATGAAGTATATATAGAGGAATGCTATATAGAGGGGTTGGAACTATATGATGTTTATCACCAAGTCTTTTATTTATTTTTTTAATATCTACTTGTTTCATCTATCTCTTATAGGTTGAATCTATCTCTTATAGGTTGAGATCTATGACTCAAAAGACTATGGTATTAAGTGTTAATTTATTTATTTTTCAAATCGTTGTATCAGTGTCAGGACCGAGGTGTCTGTGTTTTATAGGACCACGAAGAATGGCTAAGGTGAGCTTCTGTTAATTATTTGCTTTTGGACTGCATTAAGTTTTTTATTTATTTATTATTATTGTTTCAGTTTTTGTTTTAGTCAATCAGTGGATCCTAAACTTTAGGAGCAAGTCTAGTCAGTTACCCCACGTTCCTAATGTGGTGGTGGTTTGTTTTACTTTTGTAAACACTATAAGTGTTTTTGGCTGTCATGAATAAAAACTGCATTCCTATTTTCTCAATTTTTCTGCTATAATAAAACCAACAATTGGTATTAGAGTTTCTTCTTACGGGGCCTGTGAAAATGGAAGGTGAAGCAAGTTTCTCACAAATTTCTCCGCCCACCTTTGATGGAGACAACTATGACCTTTGGGCAGTTAAAATGGAGTCTTATTTGGAGGCGTTGGACCTTTGGGAAGCCGTGGAAGAGGATTACGAAATTCCTCCGCTGCCGAACAATCCTACCATGGCTCAAATAAAATTGCACAAGGAGAAAAAAAACCAAGAAGGCAAAAGCAAGATCATGTCTCTTTACTGATGTTTCATCAATAATCTTCACCAGAATCATGACTCTCAAAACACCAAAAGCAATTTGGGACTACTTAAAGGAAGAATACGCAGGGGATGAGAGGATTTGAGGCATGCAAGTGCTTAACTTGATGAGGGAATTCGAGATGCAGAGAATGAAAGATTCTGAGACAATCAAAGAATACTCTGACATGTTGCTTTTCATTGCGAACAAGGTTAGATTACTCGGCACTGAATTCACTGATTCCAGAATTGTGGAAAAAATTCTGGTCACAGTGCCAGAGAGATACGAAGCATCAATAACTACTTTGGAGAATACGAATGATCTGTCCAAAATCACCTTAGCAGGAGTGTTACATGTCTTGCAGGCCCAAGAGCAGCGAAGGCTTATGAGACAAGATCATGTGGTTGAAGGTGCTTTACCAGCAAAGCATCATGAAGTTGGAAGTAGTCAAAGCAGCTAAAGCAAAGACAAAGGTAAAAAGAAAAATTACTCACCTTGTGAGCATTGTGGCAAAATGGGTCACCCACCGTTCAGATGTTGGAGAAGACTAGACGCAAAGTGCAACAAGTGCAATCAGCTTGGACATGAAGTTGTAATTTGCAAAGGCAAATTCCAACAACATGAAGCGAATGCCAAGGTTGTAGAGCAAGATGAAGAAGATCAAATTTTTGTGGCAACATGCTTCTCAGCAAGGAGTAGTTCTGAATGCTGGCTGATTGATAGTGGTTGTACAAACCACATGACATATGATAAAACTCTCTTCAAAGATTTGAAGCCTGTAAAATTCTCAAAAGTCAGAATTGGGAATGGTGACTATATTTCTGCAAAAGGAAAAGGAACCATTGTAATTTCAACTAGCTCAGGTATGAAAACAATCTCAGATGTTCTGTATGTGCCTGACATTGACCAAAATCTGCTTAGTGTGGGTCAATTGTTAGAAAAGGGATTTAAAGTTCTTTTCGAAAATCAACATTGTCTTATCTTTGACACTACCGGTCGGGAGATTTTAAGGGTTAAAATGAGAGGTAAAAGCTTCTCATTTGATCCAATTATGGAGGAGCAGACAGCTTACATCACTCAAGTCAGTCCCACTGAACTCTGGCATAATCGACTTGGTCACTGTTATATTCAAAGGTTGCTGAACATGAAGAGGAAATATATGATTGAAGGTCTACCAGTACTTTCTGATCATTTGTCAAATTGTAATGCCTGTCAATTTGGTAAATAAAACAGAGTGTCATTTCCCAAAACAGTTTGGAGAGCCTCTCAAAAGCTGCAACTCATTCACACTGATGTGGCAGGACCTCAAAGAACTCTATCGTTACAAGATAGTCTATACTTTATTCTTTTCATAGATGATTTTACAAGAATGTGCTGTATTTTTTCTTGAAATTCAAGCATGAAGTGGATGGAGTCTTTATAAAGTTCAAGAATATGGTGGAAACTCAAAGTGGTTGCAAGATACGATTTCTAAGATCAGATAATGGGAAGGAATACACCTCAACACAATTTAATCTATTTTGTGAAGAAGCTGGTATTGTACATTAACTCACAACCCCATACACTCCAGAGAAAAATGGAGTTAGTGAAAGGAGAAATAGACCAGTAATAGAGATGGCCAGATGCATGCTGCATGAGAAGGAATTGCCTAAAAAATTTTGGGCCGAAGCGGCAAACACAGCCGTTTTTGTTCAAAATCGACTTCCATCCAAGGCTTTGAAAGACAAAACTCCTTTTGAGGATTTAAAGTGTTTGGTTGTGTTTGTTTTTCACATGTTTCACAGGTTAAGCGCGACAAGCTTGACAAGAAAGCAATTCCAGGTATTTTTGTGGGTTATAGTTCTGTTTCAAAAGCCTACAAAGTGTATCATCCTCAAACTGTTGACTGTTTCTAGGGATGTGCATTTCAATGAAGATCAATAATGGGATTGGAAGGACCCACAAAAAACAATTGGACTTTTTAACAATATTGAAGATGATTATGGCGGAAACCAAACAACAGAGTTGTGTCAGAATGAATTAGAAGATGACCCTCCTATTAGAGGCACAAGGCTGCTGTCAGACATTTATGAAAGATGCAATGTAGCAGTATGCGAACCTAGTTGCTGTGAGGAAGCACTCAAGGATCCAAAATGGAAAAAGGCAATGAAAGATGAGATTTCGATGATTCAAAAAAACAACACATGGGAGCTGGTTGACAAGCCTCAAGATAGAAAAGTTATTGGAGTTAAATGGGTTTTCAGAACAAAGCTTAATGCAGATTGCTCTATCAATAAATACAAGGCCAGACTTGTAGTAAAAGGGTATGCACAAATTTTTGGTGTTGATTATTCTGACACTTTTGCACCAGTGTCCAGATTAGATACAATTAGATTGGTGTTAGCAGTTGCTGCTCAACAAGGCTGGAAAGTATTTCAGTTAGATGTCAAATCAGCTTTTTTAAATGGAGTCTTACAAGAAGAGATATATGTGGAGCCGCCAGAGGGATTTGTTATGCATGGTGAAGAAGATAAAATCTATCTACTCAAAAAAGCCCTTTATGGATTAAAACAAGCACCAAGAGCTTGGTACAGTAGGATAAATGAACACCTATTGAGCATAGGCTTTGTGAAAAGCTTATCTGAGGCCACTCTTTATGTAAAACATAAGGGAAAAAAATTCTCTCATAGTTTCCCTCTATGTTGACGATCTTTTAGTGACTGGAGATGATACAAGGTTGGTTGAAGAATTCAAACAAGAAATGATGCAAGTTTTTGAAATGACAGATCTTGGTCTTATGTCTTATTTTCTTGGAATTGAGATCAAACAAAATGAGGATGATGTGTTCATATGTCAAAAAAATATGCTAAGGAAATCTTAAAAAAATTTCAAATGGAGGAGTGCAAAGCGGTTAGCACACCAATAAACCAAAAGGAGAAGCTGAGCAAGAAAGATGGTATTGATAAAGTTGATGAAGGCTATTACAGGAGCTTGATTGGATGTTTAATGTATCTCACTGCAACAACGCCGTACATTCTGTTTGCTGTAAGTCTGCTCTCTCGATTTATGCATTGTGCTAGTGAAATGCATTTAAAGGCAACAAGAAGGGTATTGAGATATATTAAAGGTACTGTTGATTATGGTGTCAAGTTTGAGAGCTGTCAAAATTTCAAGTTATGTGGATTCTCTGATAGTGACTGAGCTGAATCCATTGATGACATGAAGAACACTTCAGGATATTGTTTCAGTCTAGGCTCAGGAGTTTTTTCATGGTGCACAAAGAAGCAGGAGACAGTAGCACAATCCACTGCAGAATCTGAATTCATAGCAGCAACAGCAGCCGTAAATCAAGTTTTGTGACTGAAAAAGATCTTATGTGACTCACATCTCCAACATAATCATAAGACAGAAGTATTTATTGACAACCAGGCAGCAATTAGAATTTCAAAGGATCCGGTGTGTCATGGCAAGACTAAACATTTTAACATCAAACTCTACTTCTTAAGAGAGATGCAGCAAAATGGAGAAGTGACTTTGATTTATTGCAGGACAGAAGATCAATTGGCAGATTTGTTTACAAAGCCACTTCCTATCAGCAAGTTTGAGCTATTGAGACAGAAAATTGAAATTTGCAGATCCTAAAGCAAGGAGGAGTGTTAATTATTTGCTTTTGGATTGCATTAAGTTTTTTATTATTATTGCTTTATTTTTGTAAACACTATAAGTGTTTTTGGCTGTCATGAATAAAAACTGCATTCTCATTTTCTCAATTTTTCTGCTATAATAAAACCATTTTTCTGCTATAATAAAACCAACAGCTTCTTTGGCTCAGGCTTAAGATGATCGAACAAAACATGCAAAAGTAACACTTTTTATTAGTAGAAAATTTAAAGTTCAGATAAGCACATGCTAAAAAAATCATTTTAGCAATGCTTACAATTTTTTAGGATCACTGTGTCAAGACTTTACCAGCTCTGTCTGAAGCTCACTAATATCAAATGTTTGTGAGAAAATCTAAATAAATTCAAGTTGAGAAATCTACGTCAAAAGAAAATCTGATAAACGTGTTCACTGAATTACTTTTTAGATCCAAGAGCAGCCCTTTATAATCAATACTTAATTGATTCTTCCCCGACTTATTGTTGAGGTGAATTCTTCTCCAAATTATGTTATTATGACGAAATTTTAAATAACATAAAAAAATACATGATAACATCGTTCATACAATACAAGTTACAACCTATTAGTGTGTAATGGGTTTTGATAAAGTCCTTCTCTCATTGGATTTCATATTTCAAAATGGTACATAAACTTAAGACATTGTATACTATAATAGTTTAAGTTTTTACATCACACTAATTAGTATATAGCCATCAAGGTTGATTCTCCTAGCACATGCCCCTGAATAGCATCCAAAGTTTTCTCCTTAGTCACCTACAAATAATTCATCAAATAAAAAACAGAAGAAAAAAATAATAAACCATTATAAACAAAAACAAAATTTAACAAAAATATACATTAATACCTTGTTACCAAGATGAAGCTCATCATCCAAAGCATAGAGCTTAAACTGCAACCTATGACCATGATTTGGCAACCTAGGACCACGCCAACCAGGTTGTTTCCAATCATTGTTCCCTTCTTTCATCTTAGCATATTCTCCACCCATCTCCTCTTCTTTTCCAGAAAATCCCTCCGGCAATCCCTTCACTGTCGGAGGGATATTCACCACGACCCAATGAGTCCACGGCACGAGTGGCTCGTTTGGGTCGGGTGCATCGATGTCTTCAACCACAATAGCAAGAGTTTTTGTTCCCTTTGGTAGGTTGTACCATTCCAATGGTGGTGATATGTTTTTCTTTGCTCCTTGTCCTTCGTCTGTGTAGTGTCTAGGTAGTCTTGCCTCGTGTGTTATTGTTGGTGACACCAACTTGAATTCTTCACTTCCATCGCTAGCCATGGCTGTCTCTTTGATCTTTTCCTTTGTTTGTTTTTTTATCTTGGTTTGTTGTGATTGTGATGATTGTATTGTGTGATTGTGCGTTATTATGGGAAGAAGATGCGAGAATGGTGATTTATGGAGTGTGGAATTTTTGGAGAAATTGTTAGGTTTGTGACATGTGTTGTGGCAATGATTATAAAATTAATGTGTGTGGATTGTCTTAGAGAGAGTAACACGTGTTGATATACGTGGAGGATTTGGAGTGTTTTAGATTTAGACGGAATTTAAGGATCTTGTAATAAGAAAACAAGTGGAAAAGAGAAACAATCTCGAACATATTTGTGAACAATGAAACTACTTTTGTCTTCAACTAGTTAGTAGTTATCTTGTTTCTCTTTTTTACAAATTTCAATTACTTTATTAAGAAAAATGGAAGCACTACAAAATGGGTGAAAATTTTAAGACTAGGTCTATCTTAAAATGTGATCGCCTTAGTAAGTGTAGAAACAAACATATATTTTGTCTTCTAATGTAAAAAGAATTTTGTTTTTTAAAACAAACTTCAGTTAATTGTTTTGAAATTACAATTTTATATTGGGTTCACATTTAACTCAATAATCGGATCTCTTAATTATAACATTTTGGACTATTATATCTTTCATAAATAATATATTTTATTTTATGATAAATGATTCAACAATCAATCTGTAAATTAAAAATGCACTATATTTTTTTTTAAAAAAATATTATTAATTGAGAAAAAACACATCTTTAAATTTCAGCAATTGTTTTTTGTGTTTTTGTACAAATAGAATGTTGTGCGGCTAAGAAACAACACACAAAAAATATAGTAAAAATAAGGATGTTATAATGGATGTGTGGTAAAATTCGATTGGATAAAATTAGAAATGGAAATATTAAATAGAGTGCCGGGGTAGCATCTACAGTAGAGACGATAATAGAAAATAGACTTAGGTGATTTAGACATATAGAGAGAAGACTTGTAAATTCTGTAGTAAGAACAGTAGACTAGATGGAAAGAAGATAAATAATTTGAAGAAGAGAAAGATCTAAAAAAACTACAAAAGAAATTTTTAAGAAATATCTCGAGATTAATGATTTAGATAGAAGCATGATCCATAATATAACATTATGGTGAAAGTTATTTCATGTAGCTAACCCCACCTAATGGGATAAGGCTTTGATGTTGTTGTTGTTGTTGTTTTGTTTATGACCTACTACCACGGTTGAGCTGACAACCGAGGAGAAAAACATTCAAGGACACGCCTTCGAACTCCAACAACTATATTTTAATTAGCATATTTTATTTTATTTTATTTTATTACATTCTATTACCTCGGTTAATCTGACAACTGAGGAAAAAATATTTTTTTTATTTTTTATTTTTTATTTTTTATTTATGACATATTATCTCGGTTGGGTTAACAACAGAGAGAAAAACTTTTATTAAATTTGACAAAAAATTATGTAACGAATCTTTGTCATCCATTTGTATAGTAACAACAGTCAACATATTGTCAAAGTATCAATCCATATGAAACATAAGTGATCCATATGTTGGTTCCTTATTGTAACCTCTTCTCTTATAATTACTTGTTAAAAATATTTAATATTATTTAGGAAAACATGGATGTAACTTAGCAATGTTAGTTGTTATTGTTGTGTCAAGTAAAATGTTTAATGTTGTTGTTGAGATTATATATTTAACGATTCTATTGATTTTTTTTGTTATAGTTTTTGAAATTTATTGTTTAAATATTTTATGGATCTTGTTGTTATTGTTATTGAAATTTAATGTTCAATAATTCTTTTTATTATTTATTGTTGTTGATGATGAGGAGGAGGAAGATTCAAAATCTGTCAACAAATTTAATATTTTGTAGATTAAAACTAAAAATCAGGTTAAAACAAAAATTATATAAACAAGTTCTTTTACCTCTGGTATTATTTCCAAATGAGGTAGAAAGTAGCACAGTTTTGAAAATATAAAAAAACTATTGTTATGGATCGAACCTATGACCAATACAATTTTCCACTCGGTAGAACTTTATCCGAGAGAAAAAGTGACAAAAGTTTTCATGGTGCCTTTCATTACCTCATCTATGAAACTGAGGTAAACCCCGTTTTTAAATCGAAGTTTTTGTAGTAGTCCAGTTGAAGTTTTGTTGGGTTAGAATATGAGGATGCAAACATCTAGAAAGGGGTGACTAGACATCCCAAATAAAATTGACCAATTTAGAAAAAATAAATTTTTTATCAGAGTTTGAAAAACAAAAACACTTTGTATGGCAGAAGTAAAATATCTATAAAGTGATTATGCTTATCGAACGGTAGATACACGTGATACATTAAACAGTATACAATATGATAAAGATCAAATCAAACAATTAATCAAGAAACAACAACCAAACAAAGAATTAAATTGATATTAAATTTATACAAGATGTGTATTTGTACAAGATCCACACGATATGGATTCTAACACCATAGTTTTTTTTTGTCTTAATCAACAACATGACAAATTAAAAGTGTCAATTCTAACAAAACCTACACTTAACCGATAAATTGCTACAAAGAAAAAAAATCTAATAGCATGCAATTATAGTAAAACGATAAAAGCAAGAGAGAGAGAGAGAGAGAGAGAGAGAGAGAGAGAGAGAGAGAGAGAGAGAGAGAGAGAGAGTGTATGTCGAATTTATAATGGTTCAACTATCGTCCTTGCTAAGAGTACTACACTCTCTAATGGTTTTTCATTGACAAATTACATGATGTTTAGTACAATCACAATATCCAAATAATATTAAAAATATAAAAATATTTTATTTGGATTCCTTGACTTGTACACAATATTTAAACTGAATCCTTGTGAAATATTTATGCGAATTCATCTTGAATCTTCCAGTCCCAACAATCATACTCCAAAGTCTTCGTTCTACAACATATTTCCTCCATAATATTGATATTTTGAGTGTTGGTTTGTCTAAAGATTGAGAAGAACTCTCACATTGTCCATAGGCTTTAACACAACACTACCAAAGTTAATTTGGATAAAAGTACCTCCTTCTTTTCCATTGAACTTTTCAAAACCGACCACAACACCACACACCTTACAAGCATCTAAAATTTCAAGAAAATCTTCAAAGAAATGTTAAACACAATAACAAAATCTCTTTAACAATCACAAATCTCCAAAGATGATATTTATATCCACACAAAATGGAATTAGAATGAGGTATAAGATTAAATAAATTGTTTGCAAGCATTCAAGAAAGATTCAAAAATCCTTTTTTATATGTGCTAGAGATCTAGCACAAAATTGCGTTAAAAATGTTGTATAATTCGAGTCACAAGCAAGAGGTATGATCCGAGTTAGAAAAATAAGTGATTTTATTCAATAAGCAAGAACCATATGAGAGATCATTTGTATGATTTGAATCACATGATTCGATTCATCAAAAATACTAATTCGAGTCATAGTTTGAGAAGCAAACTAGTAAACTTTAAATTCAGTGTGATTCGAATCAAGCTGACTTGTGATTAGAATCAAATTTTTGTGATTCGAATCATAAAAGCTAGAAAATTATTAATTAGCTCCATATAATTATGATTCAATTCAAGATAATAGTGCGATTCAAATTACACTTACGAAAATCTCATTTTTGGAGAACTTCAAATGACTTTTGTGATTTTAATATAGTCATGACTTGAACCGTTTTCAAATATAATTCTTGATCCAAAAACTCAATACTTTGACTTGAATCATACTAATTAAACTATAACCACACATTTTATTTATGCATTCTAAAAAAAGGATTTAAAAATCAACCCAGAAGATGCACAATTTATGAGGAGACTCAATAGCTAAATAAACAAAACCAAAAGCTTAATAGACAGGCAATCAAAACTTTAAAATCGTAAGCAAAGACATGTGACATGCAACTTTAAGTTTAAAGATCCAGAACCAAATTCCTTTAGGGTTTTGTGTATTCTCTCTATCAATATACTTGTGTTACTTTTATTCACTTCCTTCTCACTACATCTAAGCTTCTTAACCTTAATCTCCAACATTTCTTTATTCGTATTAATCACCACTTTGTTAGTATCCATCTTCTTTGTGATATAAAGGGCATTCACAATCACTTGAGCTTCAGCAATTATTTGATTTTGATAACACATGTTTTTCTAGGTTATTTCCCCAATGATCTCATCAATATAATTTTTGAAGTTTTCTTTGAGGTTCCACTCTACATTGATGACTAGATTTTCATCTGTGTATATATGGATTTTCTTCCCTTTCAAAATATATTTTCCTTCCATGTTTTCCTCTTTATTGCCAAGTGGATATCATCATGGGTATTCCTATTATAAGTATCTTATTCTTTTTTTGCTGTTTATGTGATTTTGATTTTGATTATTTTGATGACGTTGATGGCTATTCTTATGATGATTTTTGATTTCTTCATGTGAGAACCTTTGCATGTTCACGTTGTTGTAATTTTTGGGATTTTTGCTTGTCGCCCCTCTTCTTATTATCAATGATCCTATTGTGATGCTTAATTTTATTGTGTTGGTCATTCATAGTCATGTTGTAATCTTTTTTCATGTTGCAAGGGGTTTTATCATCGGTTCTATTCTTAGTTTGCAAATGTAAGTTGAAATGCTCAATGTTTTCCCCTCTATCATACTAGTTGTTTACTTTTTCTTTTTTTACCTCGATTTGGCCATTAATATTGACTTTTTTAAGTTTGACTTTCATGTAGGTATTGTCTTGATATTATTTGTCTCTAGCATTTTTTTATTGTTCTTTTTTGTCTTCCTCATATCCTGAACATACTTGCTGAGGTAATTTTTGCTTCTTTTCTCCCTTATGTCCTTGGTATTGACATGTTTGTTTTATCCTAACTCCTTATCTTAAAAAATATTTGTGATATCATAGAGCTTGTTAACACTATATGATTTTTCGAGTTACCAATTAGCATCCTCATTAAAGGTAGAAT